ACAATTAATTTTATCAGAGTGATTACTCTTTTTGGCAGTTGATCAAGACCAGTACACAAATACTCACCAGCTCAATTTCCTTGTTCTAATTACCTTTTTCTAATAGTTAGTTCGCCTTTTCTAAGTAGGTCGTCGACAAACTTTTATTTGACACAATCGACATAAAACTTGTAATTCCTAACTAGTAAGTTATTTGAAAGTCCCACCACCTCTTCAAAAAGGTTCGATTAACTAGTAACCATTTTGTTGATTCCAGAACTATTTTTTTTGGTGATAAACTGGGCCGTCTCACTTGATTCTTGGTGATAAACTGGGCCGTCTCACTTGATTCTTGGTGAAAAACTTTCTATATACTGCTAAGATTGGAATGCCGTACTGGCCATTAAAAAATATATCAAATGAAGAAATCTAGAATATTCATCAAAAATTATTGAAACGACAAGCAATAAAAAGAATAAAAAAAGAAGCAATTAGAATAAATTCCTCTTGACCTTTATAAAGGATCTTAGTCTGGAAAAATCTAGAAGACTTAACAGTTCGCTTCTTATTCTCCACCTTCATTGACTTCGTTGTCAGCAATTCTTGCCTTTCGACAGTAGCGAGACAGTAGTTTGCGAAATTCCCTCCGGAACTCACCATTTGTGAAAGCGTAAATAAAAGGATTTACTGAAGCACTCAAAAAAAAGCAAAACATTGCTAGCATGGCTGCAATTCTTGGGCTAGTTTCGGGAGAAAAACGAAACCAAAGAACAAGTGCCCACATTGGTATCCAGCAACACAAAAATCCCGCGGCCACGAACAATAACACTCGACTAATGTTTGTTTCTTTCACTGAGCTTCTCACTACACCATTTTCACTTCTGTTCTGTAGCGATGATACCACATTCTGTTGATGCTCGTGGGTTTTAAGATATATCTTATAATAACTGAAAATACCGATAAACAACGGTAAAATAAAAAGCAGTCCCACAGTGATACAGTAATGAACGATTAGACTTTCACCAGTTGGGAAATAAAAAGCGCACACTGCGTAGCTTTGGACAAATTTAATCTGTAACCAATTTGTGAATCGTGCAATGATGAGATAAAGTGCAAAGGTAAGCCACAGGCAAATCAGCCACATCTTAGATTTGTGAGTCGAAAAAATCTTATTGTAATGGGTTGTCTTCACAATTTTCATGTAACGATTAAACGCCGTCAAGCCAAGGGTTGCTGGGGTAACGTTAAAGGTGAACACATCA